GTGTTCTTGATTCAGATTCCCTCAAGTCTACCTCTTTCTTAAGTCTTTAGTCTCTCTAAGACTCTATTAATCTCTAAGTCTCTGTTTCTGATTCAAGTTCATAAGTTAAAGATCAGACTTTTCTCATCATCATTTCAAGCTTTCTCTTCAGCCATTAATGGCGATTTACTTCACACAGCCTGAGCTCTGATTTCCAACACTAACAACATCAAGCATGGTGACTCCCATGAGTTTCTTTGGATCAAAAGTGATAGTTTTCTTGACTCAGCTGCTATTGGCACCTTAGAGTTCACCCGATTACTGATTATATTCACAATCCCTTTATAATACACTTAGCTATAGCCTTCAAAGTGATTAAAACAATCAATGCACTACTTCCTTCAAAGTTGATAGCAACGAAAAGTGAGAGAACATCTTATATGTAACTCGAAAACTGTAATGCCACCATTCTGGATGTGATCTGTGAGATATTTAGTGAAAGAGCAAGGAGGTTTCACAGGTAACAGACATTATGTTAAGAATATATATGAACGATAATTCTATAAGACACTTTAAACATTCATTCAAATAACGAAAAGTTCTATTCAATGAAATTTAGTGAGTTACCCTTATGCCTCTTCTCTAACGTAAGACCATAATCTTAATCCCAACCGTATCTGTATATTTGGGGGATTAGCATCAAAGAAAACACAAACCATACACAATTACGAAAATGAGGAAAACAATAAAGAGTCTCTAGGATACATACCCTAGATCAGTTCCCACCAGCTCAAACTTTCTCGTCTCGGTGTTAACACAAAGGCGCTACAGAAACCTGATGAAGAAACATTCGAAGTAGAAGCTGGGCTAGGGCTATAGCTACGAATCATGGTGGGATCGATCATCGGAATCCACCGCCGAGGCCATTACTCCCTCTGATTCATCTTTGGGCATCGTCGTGATTGATAAAATTAAGAAAAGAGGAAAAAGTTAAGAACGAATACCATGTGAATGACGTGTATGAATGACGTGGAGAAACACAATGTTTTTATTGGCTGTTCAACTTTTTCATTTATTGACATGTCAGTTCCAGAATGATTTTTTAAAAGAAAAATTGCAAGTTATTTTTAAATTTTTTTTGGGTCACACTGCAAGTTATCCTAATAAAAATGTAATTAGGTAAGTCATTTAGTTTCATGCATTTGGAAATGTCATGGTTTTAAACTTTTAGTTAAGGTAAATGAGCTCGGAGTTTTTATCAGAAAAAAAAAAAAGAAAAAGACTGGTTAATATAATGTTTTAGCCTCGTATTATTTGTTTGAAGTTTAAGTACATGATATATTGACAGAAAAGAAAAAAGATGATAATGACTTACTACTTCCTACTTTCTACTTTTAACTTCTTAGATGATTTGTAATAAATGACGATATTATTATACACCATAGAACATGAGGGCGGTTACCAGCAGTTAAAGAGAGTTTAGTTAAAGTAACGGCGTTTGATCAAAAAAAAGTTAAAGTAACGGCGTTAGTTGAGAAAAAAAGGCAAGGACGGCATAACTAAAAATTGTGACTTTTAACATGTAACCGACCGGTTATTGGTTTAGTAACCACTAACCAAAGTGAGGTTCCGTTTAGTAGCGGCGTCAAATAACGACGACGTCGAGGTCCGTTTTCGGATGTATAAAAATAACGAAGACGGTTTTGTTGGAGCTTGTGCAACTTCACTCACTCCTCTCTCTCTCTGCTTATTCACTCTTCTTCTCAAATGGCGTCATCGTCTCAGAAATTGACCAGTGCTTGTTTCGCCGTGCTCCTCATCTTTGTCGTCTGCACTCTCACAGTGATGATTCTCCCGAACAACCAAGTCACTCTCTCGAGGTCTCTGTTTCTCTCCTCTTCTCAAGTTTTTGCTCACATTTTAAATGTTTTCTCAGTTTTTCAGCTATGGACACTCTACTAACTTGTTCTTTTTTTGGAAACTTGTTTTCCCCTCAGGAAGATGAAAACAGAGGATCCGCAGAGCTTTAACAGTTCAGCCATGGCGATCAGGTAACGAAAAACAAAAAATTCACACCCTCTTTAGCAACAGACGTGTTTTGAACCGTCGGAGTTAACCAACGGCTGAGATAAGAAAATGCCCCCTCTTCCTTCCGTAACGGTTTGCTTTTTTTGAATCGCGTAGTTTCGTTTTGCTTTTTTCATTGGCTACTCACACTTGCCCTGTCTTAACTTTTCTCACACGTCAGTAAATATAATCACAAAACGACCAAAAAGTTAACTGATATATACGGTTTTACATGAGAATCTTCTAGTAAACTTTTAACATCCCCACCCTTCAATGACTCTTTGTGAATCTGTTCAACGCGCACACAAAGACATGAGATGAGACTACACCGGCTATCTCATTATGATTAACTATCTGTGCATGTAACAATGTTTTAAATTAGTTTTATTTTTTGTGATATATATAGATTAATTGGTTGCGTCATTTCTTTTGGGTGGCTTTGTTTTCAGACAAGAAGGTGTAGAGTTGAGTGAACACGCAATTCCTGATCCTGACCAGGCAACCCTCCTTCAGACGTGAGTTTCTTCTTTCTATTCATGCAAGTGGTGTGTGTGTGTGTGTGAATGCATTTATTTCCATTCATTAGGAATGTTCATAGTCGTAATAATAACAAAAGCATTCCTTTTACAGATATGGAACTAGTTTGGTCATTCTTGCTTCAATGTATGGTGTATGTAATAATATAATTTAGATAATGGAAAATTATGTTGCTAATTATTTGAAAAAAAAAAAAAAAAGTTGCTAATTATTTAATTTAACAGAAAAGAACAGAACATCACCGAAAGGAGGAAGCTTGGTTTCTTCTCATGTGGGAATGGCAATCTTATAGACGACTGTTGGCGTTGTGACCCTAACTGGCACATGAACCGTAAACGCCTCGCCTATTGTGGTATGGGTTTTGGTAGTAACGCCACTGGTGGTCGTGACGGGCGTTTCTACGTCGTCGATGATCCAACAGACGAAGACATGAAGTATCCCAAGCCAGGAACTCTACGCCACGCCGTGATCCAAGTTGAGCCACTGTGGATCATCTTCAAAAGAGACATGGTGATGACGTTGAAACAAGAGCTGATTATGAACAGTTACAAGACCATCGATGCGCGTGGTGCTAACGTACACATAGCCAATGGTGCTTGCATCACCATTCAGGGTATAACCCACGTCATCATTCATGGTCTACACATTCATGATTGTATAAGAACTGGGAATGCAATGGTCAGAAGCTCGCCTTCTCATTATGGAATGAGGAATATGTCTGATGGTGATGCTGTTTCTATATATGGGTCAAGTCATATCTGGATCGACCACAACTCTCTCTCTAAGTGTGCTGATGGTCTTGTGGACGTTGTCATGGGTTCCACTGCCGTCACCATTTCAAATAACCATCTCACTCACCACAATGAGGTCAAATAAAAAAAGCTAAAAACTTTTCTGCTTTTTGTTTCAGTTTTGCTTATAACACACTCTGATATTTTTTTTTAAAAATATATTACATTATATGGAGGCAGGTCATGTTGCTAGGAAACAATGATTTGTATACACAAGATAAGAATATGAAAGTGACCATTGCGTATAACCATTTTGGAGAGGGACTTAAACAAAGAATGCCAAGGTAAATCTTCAAACTCACATCGTGTTGAGTGAGGCTGTTGACTGATGTGGTTATTCTACTTTGCAGATGCAGGCATGGATATTTCCATGTGGTGAACAATGACTACACACATTGGGAAATGTACGCTATTGGAGGAAGTGCAAACCCAACTATAAACAGTCAAGGCAATAGATATGCTGCTCCCAAGAACCGCTACGCAAAGGAGGTTTGATTTTTTGAACTCCCTCTTCTTGTCTTATGCTTCAACAGAAAGAAATGAGATTTAACTCTCTAAATATGTATCTGGACAGGTTACAAAAAGGGTAGTGAAGAGAGAAACAACTGAGTGGAAGAAGTGGAACTGGAGATCAGAAGGTGACATGCTAGTGAATGGAGCGTTTTTCATACAGTCAGGGGAAGGAGAATCAGCAAGCTATGGAAGTGCATCTAGCTTAGAAGCTAAACCAGCTTCTATGGTCGCCTCAATCACTTCTACTGCAGGTGCACTTGGTTGCCGCGAAGGCAAACCTTGCTACTAATATCAATCTCCTCTCTCTTAACAAAGCCTAACCCCCTATCACACGTATTTTCAAAATGTGCAAGGCTTTTTCTTTTATGCTAAGAAACAAAGTTAAGGATAATTCGAAAAGAGTTGATTATTGGTAGGACTTTTAGTTGTATCTTAATAATTTAATTATTTATTTTAATAGAAAATGACATATAAAAAATAAGTTTAAAATAAAACATATAACATTAAACTTGAAAACATAAGCAAAATACAAAGTTTGGAAAAAAAAATTACAAACATCATAAATTGGAAAACTTCCTCACCACTTTTCTTCTTTGCACTCCCACTAACTTTAGGAGTGTTGAGGCTTAGCCATTTATGTTCATATCTCAACACACACTAAACATATTCAAGGTTAAACTTGATATTGTTATATCAGCGTAGAAGATTTTGTGAGCCACCTTCAGAACATCGTTCTCGTTCTCACCGCTGCTATGTTTTCTCTCTCCAGCGGCATATGCGTCACAAAACTTGTTGGTGAGATCATTAATTTTGTGCCACCTCTCCTTACAATTTTTATGCTCTCTCTCACCAGACTATGTAGCATATGTAGCGAAGTATTCTCCTACTCGATTCTAGAAGGTCCCTGACTTTTGTTCATTACCGACTATAGCATCCTTAAATGTGTTTAGCCAGGCACTTATTAGAACCTCATCATCAGCTGGGATCCATTTCAGTCTCTTTCCACGCTCCACAGGTGTGTCTTCAGGTGGAGTTGGAGCCTCATGTTATTGTGAACTGAAAGGAGGGATTTCTGATGCTCCAGGAAGAAAACTCTCATAAGAAATTTTTTCATAGACAACACTTTCGTGTTGACTGTTAATAAGGCCTAAATAACCAGAAGACTGGCTATATGGATTCCTTGAATCCATGTTTAAAAAGAGAGAAGCGATTATAGAAGAGAAAACATAATTGTATCTGATTTTACCAGAGAAGAGAAAAAGAAGTTGATGGAGTTTAAATGATAGCTTGAAGGAGGGTCGGGGTTTAATAGGTGAACCGGTAATAAGTAACAACCATAATGACCTAACCCTAAATCTACCAAAGTCTAATCAGAGTTATTACACATTACACAACCAACTTTTGCAGGTGCATTAAGTTTAAAGTACAAACTAGATTATCATTAACATATACAAACAAGATTCAGACACGACACTTTTCATTAAAAGGAAACAGGAGTTGGTTACACATTACACAATCAACCTTTAAAGGTGAATTAAGTTTAAAGTACAAAGTAGAATATCATTAACATATACAAACAAGATTCAGACACAACACTTTTCATTAAAAGGAAAGAGGAGTTGGTTGCAATCAAACTAGGTTACCAATTCATTATACACTTTTTAATGAAACATGAGTTGGTTACTAGTTCTATGAAAACTACGCTAAAATAAAACAAGAGCTGGTTACTATTAACAACTAGTGTTGCTACTATTAACAACTAGTCCTTACCTTGTCAATTCATTTAGTGGTTACTATTAAATACACACATTCATTATATATGACTTATCAATTCATTCAGTGTTGCTACTATTAACAACTAGTGGAGCTCAAGTGATTGACTTACCTTGTCCTTTCGACGAAATGGTTGTTCTTCTTAGTTATCGGGGTTAGTGTGAGCCAAACGAACCACACCTAATCACAAATTCAGAATCAAACCAAAGAAAATATATGAATTTCATCAAATAAGTGATGATTTTCCAAAACTACACTAATCTACATACACCAAACATACAATCAGACACGGTAACCAAACCTAATCACAAACTCAGAATCAAACCAAAGAAAAGATATGAGTTTCATCAAATAAGTGGTGATTTTCCAAATCTACACTAATCTACATACACCAAACATACAATCAGTCACGGCAACTAAACATACAATCAAACACGAAAAAGGATTTTCGAAAACCATACAATCAGACACAAACATAGATTTTGGAAAAACATACAATCAAACACGGCAATCATATCCAAATATTAACACATATCACAAAGACGAATCAAGATTTGGAAAACCCAAAATCTACAATGACAACGGAAACCCTAAATCTCTCAACAACTAAATCTACAACGACAACAACAACAAAATACATGCAAATACTCAATACGGAGAGGAAAAGGTCCCTTATTCACCTTCGAATTGTGGAAAAAGCTGTGGATGAAACAACAGATCCTCTGGATTGGAATCGAAATCAACAAGAGATATGCAGCGTCGAGAGAGATGCAGCCTCCAGAGAGATGTGGCGCCAAGAGAGAGAGACGACGATGAGAGAGAACCACCGTCGAGAGAGCCGCTCGAATCCTTGCCGCTTGAATCGCCTTCGAGAGAGAACCAATTTGTTTTCGAAGTGAATCTCGGACACAACTCCATTTTCTCCTACAAAATATCATCGGCCATTCGCAAACCAACATGTGGCTCGTAAGGACTGACATTGAAAACTTCTTTATTAAGCGGCGTACTTATTCTTATTGACTATTTCTCATTTAATTATCAATGTTTAATTGTTAAGATATCTCCCTAAGAACGCCGATAATCTTGTCCTTATAGTACAAGAAGATGCAAAATTTTAAAGATTTATCTACGTCCATATATTCTGCCATGTCAGATTAGTAGGCCTTGAAACACTCTAATACGGGGCCATTCGTTAGCCTTATTTTCATTTAGGGTCCATGGGCATAATCAATATCTTCTCTTTCTTTCTTACAATACAATAAAACTACAAGCATTTGAATCCAAAGTTTGGTTGATTGATTCCTTTAAAAGTTAATTAGTACGTGTCGTTTTCAAAATACAGTTTATATTAATCTTAAACAGAAAGTTAAGTATATAATCTGTAATTACTTAAGTGGTAACGTTAAAAAAGAAAAGAACATTTTGGGAAAATAAACAAAAACATGGAGAGATTCCATAGAAGAGACTCCCGAGGCAAAGACCCTTGAAACAAGGCACTACTTCTTCTTTCTTTATTTCTAATACTGCGCCGTTTAACTTTTGTTTTCCTTCTTCTTCGCCCCTTGCAGTCACTTTCTCCTTTATTTTCTTTGTTTACTTGTAATAATGGCTCATGGTGCGCTAATTATTTTTGTACTTACCATAATTTATTTTATCTTTTCAAAAGTGTACTAATAGAATAGACGTAAATGTCTGTCATGTGGCGGTTAATAAAACATATTTACCCATCTACGCTAAAGAACCAAAGTTCACACTTCGCATATACACTTGCATGTTATTTTTTGGAGAATAAATACATATGTAACTAAACTATTAACAAAGTAAGACACATAAATGTTATATGACCATAACTAGTAAACGAAGCAAAGCAATGTTCATCTGGTGTAGTATTATAGTTGCGAAATATCATTTTGGTATGAAATTGTGCTAAACTGCTAATGTACATGAGAATTAAAGAAGAAAAGATTAAAAAAGTAAAAGAGAAGTTATAATAGTTATAATAGTGAAAAAAAAAGAAGTTATAATAGTGATTAGTGAGAGTAGGTGAGAATGAGTGAAACTCGTTGTGCTCACGTGAGGCAACCTCAAAATCAGGGATTGTTGTTTTGTCCTCTCTACCCTAAACCTAAACTTAAACCCACCCATCCTTTGCTTCTCTTTCGATTTCTTTAAGAACCCACAAGTGTTAAGATACTAAACTCACTTTCTTTGAAAATAAAAAATGATGCTAATGCACAAGGTTCATATTAATTTCCACATTTTGTGAAAAGTAATGCCACACTTATTCTTGATTTTTTTTTAATTATATAGAACTTGCTTAATCTATCCCTTGATATGATTTGTACATCCTTCTAATTTAGAGATATCTATATATACACAAACATTTATTACTTTAAATATTATTTATCTTCTCTCTCTTTTTAGTTTTGAATACCCTTCCTTCTTGGTCAATGTTTTATATTTATATATTCTTTAGAAATTGTTTTTTTTTGTAACAACTCTTTCGAAATTGCTATTATATATTGTTTATATTGAATAGATTAATGTAATGCATAAAGAAAATAAATAGAAGTCAATCTACATCCTATGTATAATATGAACAGAAAATAAGATGATATAAACGCAGAATGTAATAAACATTTAAGAGAGTGAAAAATATTTTTTAGACATTCTTTCTTTAGTGATTTGACTCACATTCTCTTTACAATAACTTTCACTAAAAAAATGACAAGGCATAATAGAAATGAAGACAACTTATGATTAAATATGACATGTCAATTAAATTTAATGTTGATTTCTATTTTTGGTAATTTTTTTAGAATATTGAATAACACATGCATTATCATTAAAATAAAATATATTTAAATATGACATTAATAAGATAATAAATATAAAATAGTTTAAAATTTTCAAAATATTATTTAAGACTAATTTTATAATAATACAATTTTTATTACTAAAGAAGATTTTCAAATTTTATACAGTTTTGAAAAAATTATAAACTTTTAATTGTAACACCATTTGTTTCACTTTGATAATTACAAATTTTAAAAATTCTGTTTAATACTATTTTTGATAATTATTAAAAAAATATCAAATTTTTAAAAATTATACAAATTGATTTAACATTTCTTAACCAAAAGAAATAAATGAAATTTAGTTAAGATTATGATTTTAAATATATATAGATATATTCTTAAAATTAATTTTAAATAAATCAAAATGTTTTTTATCTAAATTTAAAATTACATTAAAATATTGGTAAAGAAAATAAAATGTAAAATATTGACAAATTTTTCTTTTTATTTATAATTAAAAAGTTATTGATGCACATAGTGTATGAAAATACCTAGTTTTGTTAACCGAAGTAGATAATATTTTTGGGATTCTATTTTCATTTGTATTTGAATATCTACGATTATATTCCCTTGTATAGAAAACCAATTTAACTTTTAGAAATGGGAAATGCATTGGATCTAGCAAAATGTTCAAGTCTTGTCCTCTTATTTTAAAGGATTCTCATTTTATTTAATATAAACCTAATCTGCACTAGTTTGTGAATAGACGATGAAGACAACTAAACGTTACATAGTCTTGATTTTAAGTGTACCTTGTGCGTAATATGGAGTGACGTTATAGTCTGTTTTCTTTTTTGGCCTTGCATTGGCTTGGATTGTTAATTTCTACGAGCTATATACAAAGAAAGTAATACAGTAAATTTTAGTAGATATATTAACACTATATAAATTAAATTCAAACTTAATTTCACGTACAGTAACTACTGATCTTAAGAGTTAAGACGACTATATATGTTTCAGTGTTTGTGTGGGTGGTATTCAAAAAATTGACCCTATCAGCTCATAAGAATACATCTTTTTGTTAACTTCAAAGTTATATATTATGATATTCTTACTGCGAGTCAGTCAACAAGATAACAATTATCAGAGCCAGTGAGCTACTACAGTGGCATTAAAATATACTCTTTAAGTAAAAATAAACACAGGGAATAATCACCGATACAACCACTTGCTTGGGGATTGAGCAAGTGCACTAGTTAACTCCAACAGTAAAATATATAATGATCAGTCAATAAATATAACATGAGAGTAAGAGGTTCAGTAACACAAAACAGTGTAACGATACAAATATAGTTCTGTATGGGTACTAAATTAAAAAAAAAAATAAGTTAGCATTAAAAAATGGTAAAAGAGATAGATAGGGGGCATCATATAGGCGAGGTGGCAAAGAGGTGGGGGGTGGTGCAGTTTTGTTGATCTCAAGGCATTGTGTTTCCCCATTTTCCTTTGTACTATTTCTCCTCTCTTAATAAAAACACACAAGTATTTAGAACACACTCTGTAATCTGTATTCTCTTGCCTAAGCTTGAGTTTAAACCAAGCAAGAACCAGATTTCAAGAGAGCACAGAGATAGAGAGAAGAGAGGCACCAAACCCTAAATGGGTCTAACCCCGAGATTTTAAAACCCTTCTTTTATGATTTTGAGGCAAATGTCGTCTCTTCCTTCCTTAATCTCTTCTTCATTTCTCCTCCTCTTCTGTTTCTCTCTCTCTAATGCAGAGCAAAACCCGGAAGCTTCTATCCTCTACTCATGGCTTCACTCTTCTTCTTCTTTTCTTACGCCTTCCTCTCTTTCTCTCTTCAACTGGAACTCAGCCGACACCACTCCTTGCAAAAACTGGACTTTCATTACATGCTCACCTCAAGGCTTCGTCACCGACATCGACATCCAAGCCGTTCAAATCGAGCTACCTTTACCCAATAGTCTCCCTGAGCTTCCTTCTCTTCAGAAACTCACTATCTCCGGCGCTAACCTCACCGGAACCATACCGGAGAGTCTCGGAGACTGTCTCGCTCTCACGGTTCTTGACCTAAGCTCAAACAGTTTAGTGGGTGACATTCCTTGGAGCTTAAGCAAGCTTCATAACCTAGAAACCCTAATACTCAACTCCAACCAGCTCACCGGAAGAATCCCACCGGAGATCAGTAAATGTTCCAAACTCAAGAGCTTAATCCTCTTCGATAATCTCCTCACCGGAAGTATCCCTTCGGAGCTAGGGAAGCTCTCTGGTCTCGAAGAGATAAGAATCGGAGGAAACAAAGAAATCTCCGGCAAGATCCCACCGGAGATCGGAGACTGTTCTAACCTGACAGTTCTGGGATTAGCCGAGACGAGCGTCTCTGGAAACCTACCTTCCTCTTTAGGTAACCTCAAGAAGCTGCAGACACTCTCCATTTATACTACAGAGATAAGCGGAGAGATTCCTCCAGAGTTAGGCAACTGCTCTGAGCTTGTGGACATCTTCTTGTACGAGAATAGCTTGTCTGGTTCAATCCCCCGAGAGATAGCTAAGCTCACGAAGCTCGAACAGCTCTTCCTATGGCAGAACAGTCTCGTCGGTGGTATCCCTGAAGATATAGGAAACTGCAGCAACCTCAAGATGATAGATTTGTCTCTAAACCTCCTCTCTGGTTCGATTCCTGTCTCCATCGGTCGTTTGTCTTTTCTCGAAGAGTTTATGATCAGCGACAACAACTTCTCCGGTTCCATACCAACAACTATCTCCAACTGTTCGAGTCTTGTTCAGTTACAGCTCGACAAGAATCAGATCTCTGGTTTGATACCGACCGAGCTTGGAACACTCACAAAGCTTACTCTGTTCTTCGCTTGGTCTAACCAGCTAGAAGGAAGCATCCCTCCCGGTTTAGCAGACTGTACCGATCTCCAAGCGTTGGATTTATCGCGTAATGCTCTAACCGGAACAATCCCTTCCGGTTTGTTTATGTTAAGGAACTTAACAAAACTTCTCTTGATCTCAAACTCTCTCTCTGGCTCCATACCTCAAGAGATTGGTAACTGCAGCTCTCTGGTGAGACTGAGGCTAGGTTTCAACAGGATCACTGGGGAGATCCCTTCTGGTATCGGGTCACTCAAAAAGTTGAACTTCCTCGACTTGTCGAGCAATAGGCTACACGGGAAGGTTCCTGATGAGATAGGAAGCTGCTCGGAGTTGCAGATGATTGATCTTAGTAACAACTCTCTTCAAGGCTCGTTACCTAACACGGTTTCTTCTTTATCCGGTTTACAGGTTCTTGATGTTTCAGCGAACCAGCTTTCAGGCAAGATTCCCGCGAGTTTAGGGAGACTTGTGTCCCTAAACAAACTGATCTTGAGCAAGAATATGTTCTCAGGATCGATCCCTAGCTCCCTAGGTATGTGTTCAGGGCTGCAGCTTCTTGATCTCGGAAGCAACGAGCTCTCTGGTGAGATCCCTTCAGAGCTTGGAGATATTGAGAATCTTGAAATTGCGTTGAATGTTAGTAGTAATAGACTCACTGGGAAGATACCTTCTAAGATTGCGTCTCTCAATAAGCTCTCGATTCTTGATATCTCACACAACATGCTTGAAGGAGATCTTGCTCCACTTGCCAACATCGAGAATCTCGTCTCCCTCAACATCTCTTACAATAGCTTCTCTGGTTATCTACCAGACAACAAGCTTTTCAGACAGTTGCCTCCTCAAGATCTCGAAGGAAACAAGAAACTCTGTTCCACGTCAGCTAAAGATTCTTGTTTTCTGACTTACGCCAATAGCAATGGACTTGCGGGTGATAAGGAAACTTCTCGCGCAAGAAACCTCAGGTTAGCACTCGCGCTTTTGATCTCCCTGACGGTTGTGTTGATGATTCTCGGCGCTGTGGCGGTGATCCGAGCGAGGAGGAACAACGAAAACGAAAGAGATTCGGAGCTGGGAGAAACGTATAAATGGCAGTTCACACCGTTTCAGAAGCTCAACTTCTCGGTAGATCAGATCATAAGATGTTTAGTTGAGCCTAACGTGATTGGTAAAGGATGTTCAGGGGTAGTGTACCGTGCTGACGTGGACAACGGCGACGTTATAGCCGTGAAGAAGCTTTGGCCAGCGATGGTTAACGGGGGTAACGATGAGAAGCCTGATAAAAACGTGAGAGATTCGTTTTCAGCGGAGGTTAAAACACTGGGGACGATCAGACACAAGAACATTGTTAGGTTTCTTGGATGTTGTTGGAACAGGAACACAAGGCTTTTGATGTATGATTACATGCCTAATGGTAGCTTAGGGAGCTTGCTTCATGAGAGACGAGGCTCTGCGCTTGATTGGGATCTTAGGTACAGAATCTTGCTTGGTGCAGCTCAAGGTTTAGCTTATCTACACCATGATTGCCTCCCACCCATTGTTCATCGCGATATCAAGGCCAATAACATTTTGATCGGTCTTGATTTTGAACCGTACATTGCGGATTTCGGTTTAGCTAAGCTTGTTGATGAAGGTGACATTGGCCGGTGCTCTAATACTGTCGCTGGATCTTATGGTTACATTGCTCCAGGTATGTCCATATACTTTAAGTTCTACATGGCCGGATCTAGGCACAATCATTGACCTTGGCGTTCAAACTTTTTGAAAGTTATATATATATATATATATAGACAAATATTTTTAGTAAATGTTAATAGTTTCCAAAATCTCAAATTCAACTCTGCGTTTCTAAGCATATAGTTGAAGAATACTTGGTTATAAGCTGTTCTCATAAACGGGCTCTGTGTTTTTGTGTAGAGTATGGTTATAGCATGAAGATTACAGAGAAGAGTGATGTTTACAGCTACGGTGTGGTGGTTCTTGAAGTGTTGACCGGGAAACAACCTATAGATCCGACCGTACCGGAAGGGCTTCATTTGGTGGATTGGGTGAGGCAGAATAGAGGCAGCCTCGAAGTTCTTGACTCGAGTCTGAGGTCAAGAACCGAGGCTGAAGCTGATGAGATGATGCAAGTGTTGGGCACTGCTTTGCTTTGTGTGAATGCGTCTCCTGAAGAGAGACCCACTATGAAAGATGTTGCGGCTATGCTCAAGGAGATCAAGCAAGAGCGTGAGGAGTATGCGAAAGTTGACTTGCTACTGAAGAAATCTCCCCCACCAACAACGAAAACGCAGGAAGAAGGTAGTAATAGGAATGAGATGACGGTGGCTGCAGCTTCCTCTTCCAAAGAGATGAGACGGGAAGAGAGAATAGTGAAGAGTAACAATACTAGTTTCTCTGCTTCTTCCCTGCTTTACTCATCTTCAACCGAGTGATATATATACTATATAGGGTTCGAGAGTTCCGTGAGAAGAAAGCTTTTGTGTGCTGTTTGAGAAATGTTTTCTTTTTCATTTTATTTACTTATATCATTTTAAATCCTTGGAGATGTGATGTAAAAAAAAAACAAGAATATAATGAGAAACTGTGAGTCAGTAATCTTATGGAATTGTGAGTAGCAAAGGGTGACATGGAAATGTGCCTCCGACGCCTTTTGTCTTGGAGAAGATGGAAGTGCCTTTAAAAAAAACTCAAAGTCAACGAAGGTAATGTGGTTTGACAATTGGCAACGGACTACTGAAAGTACTGTTTCGTTTCTTTTTTTTGTTTTTGTTCAAACTTCATTTTATAGATTTTACTCTCCATATAATAAAAAAAAAAAAAATTTTACTCTCCAGAATGTTCACATGATACGAAAACATAACCATCTTGACCAAAGAAACAATTATTACAAAGGACCAATGCATCATATAAAGATAGGGGCAAACACCACACTTAAACAACTAATGATGTAAAGAAGTCCTCTAAATTCAACGACCATCAAACTGAAAAGTGAGACGAAGCCTTGGGAGTTAAAGACCACAATCAGTTATATGTATACCGAGATTGAAACAGCAACAAGTGCACAATTAACAATCCTTAACATGGCTAAACAACCTTTGATTAGAACTTCAGTATTTGAAGTATCTATAATCTTCAACGTTAAGCTCCCTGCACCCATACCACATAAAGTAGTTGATGAAATTGGGAAAGAAACAAGTTCCATAAAAAAGGAACCTGGATAAGAAACGTCCTATAAAACCCGATCGACAGGATGAATAGAAATGTGAGACATTAATCCATCAAGATGCCATAACTGAGCACAAAAGGACTTGAATACCATAACCGTAGGACTGTATAACACAGTAAATGGACTCCTAACTGCAGTCAAAAGCCTCACCAAAGCAAGATCCAGAGACAAAGCACGAGGAAATCCAAGATACCAAACCAGAGATATCAACACATCACTGAAATTTAAGTTCGAAAATCTCTGAGATAAAACCTGGTTTAGTAGGAGAGGAGGGGGAGAATGTATCCGTTGTTAGAGCAACAAACACATTAACAAGCTTAATTATCTGTTATTCAAACAAAACGTTTAGGAACTTTAAATTAAAATCATTATGTCGAAGTCAAAACAAATAAAAGTGATTTGTTTTGATTCATTATAGTTTGAAATGTTTTAAGCAAATACGGTTTTAGGAAGAAGAAAATAAATGAAATAAAAAATAAACATAAGCACAATATAATATTTAGAGTTGATAATCACTAGTCTTCTTCCATTGGAACTTGTGGCATGTCAAACCAGTCTTCTTTGATAGGCTTGTTGTTGATCGTTGAAGCTGAATGTGAATTATCCTCCATCTCTCCACGGTTTCTGCTACTAAAAAGCTCTCTCACAATTTCAGGAGTAATCTGCATTAATGGTAAATACGACTTAAATAAATAGAGAGGAACAATATTTTGATTAGACAAGGGAAAGTAGTCATACTAGATCGTGATTTTGCTTCTCAAGTAGACTGGTGAGACTCTTTTTATCTTCCTTTCTTAGTTCGTGCTTGTACCGTTGCACAAAGGCGAGAAGAGTTTGGTGCCAAATGACAGGCATAACTGATGTCTCCTTACGAAATCTCAAAAAGTGAGCAGCGACCGCATCAATGGCCAGATGAGCCAGCGCATACTTCTTCTCCAGGATAGCTTTTATGAAGTAACTGCACGCCACAAACAAACAAAACACACAATGTAACCGAAGAAGGGCACAAGATATAACTTATGTACGTGTAAAGTATAGGCTGCATTTTACCTTCTTGTGCCAAGAAACTCCATCTCCGCCAAACATACCAAGGCGGCACTGCAGTTCATGCACATGAATAGTTTTGTTTTATGTGTGCTCAATAGTTTGGCAAAACTGATAAAGGCAAATCCTTGTTACCTTGAAAAATTTTCGGGAATAGAAAACTTGTGTATTATACTCCCTATAATTACAGCTTCGGGGATGGTGCATGTTCCAGACTAAAAAAAAAAAAAACATGCACATGATTTAGAGAAAAGAAACAAAAGGAGAAGGATCAAAAGAAATTAAGAAAGGACAGAAGAAAAAACACACACCTTACACAGGGGAAGTAAAATCCCACAGTAGAATCCTTTGGGCTTGAAGAGTGCCTTTTTCAAAGATTGGTAGAGACAAAAATGCAGCTTTTTGTGGATTCTGATATCCTCTCTGACCCTAGGAAGAAGAAAAGCCTCATAGAAGCGTTCAGCTTTGGTGCTGGAGGCAAACATGTTTGTAGCCTTGTACATAGCATTTGGGGACCAACTCTCTGGTTGAGTCAACTTCAATAAACTTTCCCAATTTTCAAGTCTAGTAAGATGGTTAAGAGCTTTCGGCATTTTACCATGTGTGTATAGACTCATAAACTCTCCAAGCCTGCAAATAGTTTATCAGAGACAAAAATTAATTATAAAACGCGGTGCAATTTGTAAAAAGTGTTTTTTTTTTTGCAGGACAAGGGAAGAGAGGATTTACTTTCGATAGTAGTCAGTTTCTGAAACACAAGTTGAGCCTATAGCAGCAGCAATATGGTTATCTTCAAGCTTGTTGATAGAAGAAGAAATAGCATCAGAGAGACGTTTAGCTATTGAAGCCCCATCCTTGTGAAAGAAGGCATCTAGTAATAACTTCTCTTCTTTCTCGCTACAAGCCATATCCTTTTAACAATTTTTATCAATAAGAATCTCAATCACATAACCACAGCTAATGAATGTTACATATAGAGTGTTCCGTCATATAGACACAAATGATTGAGAAGAGAGAAGCTCACATGGTAATCGAGCTGGCTTTGGATCTCTTCAGCATCATCATCATCAATAACATCTTCCAAGTCATACAATAATGGTTGCTTGCAGAAGGCGCTCATGGGGGCGTTTTCTTCATCCTCGACTTCCTTTTGTTGCGCATAGGCTTCCTTCAGGATCTTCTCCGTTAGCTGAATAAAGAAAAAAAACTATTAGAGAAACCTAACAATCAATCAACAAAAAGAATCCGACACTTCTCACCTTCCGGCTTTTGCAACCATTCATCGGTGAGGCGACTGAGATTGCCTTAAAGTTCCTCTTTGTCGCCATTGGAAGATCGGCAGTAAGAATCACTTTACGGCTCTCGCGCAGACCTAGCCCTTATTTTTTTACCCAATTAAAATCACATATCGAGTCTTTGCAGCCCATTTTTATACATTCGTAGTTTACGTGATTTACAAAATTTTGCCGAGTTTTAAGTCTAAATTAAAAAAAATATCCCAAAATATTGGATACTAACAATTAATCCCAAAACAAAACACACACTTGATTTGATAATTCAGCTACGAATAGAGATAACGACTTAAAAAATAGATTTGATGATATTTTGTTATTTTGAATTTATGCGTCTACACAGCTCCTACAACTACTCGCCGTGCAGCTTGTTGGCCATTACGGGCACTGTCCACCATGCAATTACCTTTTCTTTACGCATTTCTCTATCACATTCTCATTTCAGTTTCATTCTTATCTCATACCCATTTATCCTTTTATCAATTCATCATCATCATGCTTTCAACACATTATTAGTACTAGTTTATTACAATCAAGCAGTCATCACAATCAACACATTATTGAGAACTTTTACTTCGTTAATTTGTTATAGTGTTAGAAAACATCAAATACATTCTGATATACATGTGGGAAATTGAACTAGTATATCTCAACAAGTGGATCTTCAGAGCCTTTTGTCGCATAATAATATGTTCTTGTGGAAAGACAAAACTAGCAATGTCACATAAACAAACTTTATTGCGTTCTAATCATATGTGTCTGTGGCTCTGCTCTTTTATTTAATCCATAAAACCTAACTACGGTACAGAAATATAGGCCTATTGTAATATGGTGTCATACAGATATATAGTGAGATAGAGATTTGAGCTAAAAAATCAAAACCAAAAGAAACTGAACATTTTATACATTTTCGTGCAGTCTTCAGATTGTTAATCTCCTTTGCTTTCTGCTGCGAGCTTTTTCAGTAGATTCTATTTGCTTCCATCGAGAGTTCTTTGTTTCACGAGTAACTATGAGGTAAGCTAGTTTCTTCTTGAGTCGATATACGATCATTGGCAAAGCCTCTTGGTAGTTTTGTCTTAGTTTCTTGATCATACGGCCTCCACGATCTAGCTCTTCGATGCAAGTGTAGAATTTTTCTCCAACATCTTCTTTTCTCATCTCGTTCCTCATGACTTTCTCCCAAAGCTCCACTGCACTCGTTAGATACTCGATCATCATATCGTTGAGATACCTTTCATCTTCGTATTCCGCCACTTCTTTTTTGTAGCCGGTTAGTTTCTTCGATCCTGGTGTTTTAACTTTCACCAGACGAAACTCGTTATTCAACACCGTTTCTGGGACGGCCAGAGACCGTTCTTCCTCGGGGATAAGGTCGTAGCTGGGTGTGATCTCCAAAGTTGCATCTTCTTTATGGTTCTCAAGATCGGCTTCAGGATTTGATTCTTCATTCGCGATCTCGTCGACTTTAACGTCTTGGGTCTCTCCATTGGCGTCTTCTTGTTCTTGTTTAAGTTCGTTGGTAGCCTCAAGGAAGCGTTGATGAAGAAACTCGTCTTTCTCCAACAAACGTCGAAGGGATGTAGTCATCTCGGTCACTCCGATTCTATCGAGAGTAAAGTCTTGAACCAAGGAATCGTAAGTTATCATTGCCGACGGACTTAAACTCATCTTGATGGTCTCACGCAAGTTATCTATTGCTTCTGAATCGTCCTCCATCTTTCTCTTCTCAATCTTGTGTTTCTTCGTTGTTTCTTATTCTTTTTCCCCCATGCAAGACTGTATATATAACCCCATAATCCCCCCCCCCCCTTTCTTAATATTTTTTTTACTAAATGAAAAGTTTGATTTGTCTCGTACCATGTGGCATCTTATTGGCTGAATAGAACTTCTGGACATATTATATATGATAAAGTCATAAAGCTATAATAGTAAGCAGAATATATATATATATATGTATATATATTCTTATATATATTTTTGCATTAATTGAAATACTGACTACTAGGATAAGACCTGCGCCTTGCGCAGGGTGAATATATGTAATTAAAATATAAAATTTTAATATTCACAAATTTAAAATTTACATATGATTGTTTTTGTATGTATTTGAAATTTTAGAATTTTGGAATTTTTATATAATTATCTATACGTATGATCAAAAACAATTTTAATTAGAAATGTAAATCAAATCTTAGANTTTTTTAAAAATAATTTTCTAAAAAATTATGTTAAATTTAAAATTATTTTTAAAAGCAATATTTTAAGTTTTTCGAATACAAATAAACAATTTAAAATTAATTATTGTCATGATTTAACATAGCCATAATGATTTAAAAAATTAAAAAAATTAAAAGTTAACAAATTAAAAATTAACTCAGTTTTATATCATGATTTAAAAATTTAAAAATTAATTATGGTTATGAGAAGTTTACGTTCACGTGTCAATCCTATTTATCTTCCATTTTTCTCTTGCTATGTTTTTTTTAATATTTTGCTTATTACTCGATATAAATATTTATTTTGAATTTTATTCTCATTTTGTTTGTTTGTTTTGACCTGAAATTTAGAAAATATTTAAGTTTTAAAATAATTAAATAGATAAATACTTAGGTTAAGATCTGCACTTTATGCACAATAAGTATTTTATATTTATTATTTCTTTTATATTTTCTGCATATTATAAATAATAAAATAATAAATATATATATATTAAATAACTAAGAAATCAATTACTATTATGTAACAAATTGGCGTATGCATATAAATTTAACTATTACTCTTGTTTATTCACAATTAGGGTAAATAAATCAAAATAATCAATCTTATATATTGTATATGATATATAATTAAATTTAAAT